GGGAATGCAAACCAAAAGTTCGAGGGGGGGTGCAAATCGACAGTTTGTCCCCGGGCGCCGGGAAGGGTCGCTACGCCTCTGGCTTAGTTGTGATATCATCAGAGGCGTAGCTAGGGGAGGGCGGGTGGGCTGGTTGCCCCGGGCGCCGACCTTTAGGGGGCACCAAAAGAGGTAGAGAAATAAATTTGAAAGCTCATTTTAAGCTGACATATTGAATATTCACACTGTCAAAGTTAAAAAAATGAACGAATACGAGGTTTTTCACACTGATTTCGCTTTTTTTACTATATCAATTTTGTGGCACCGAAATAGAAAATGTTGCGGGATAGTGACTGGTAAGAAGTGCCACAAACCTTTCCAACTTGGGGGGGGGGGGGGGCTTTTTCACAGACATGAATACCTATATATAGAACTAGGAGGGAGGGCGGCGCAAAATTGATAGTCTGCCCCGGGCGCTGAAATCGGTCGCTACGTCTCTGACTTTGATTCGGATTTAAAAGTGTTTTTAAACGTTTTATAGCTGAGAATGATGTAATATTATAAAAACTCTTGATAAGGTTTGCATTAAAAAAAAAAGAATTACAATTCTTCTTCTTCTTCGCTCTTAATTTTTAGTGTTGGAAGGGATCGAGCTTTTGCCGACTCGACCACGCCTCCATCACAATTAAGTATTACGTGTCAACTGGTTATGAGCCATTTTCCGATTTCAGCCTGCTTTTCTTTTTTGATTTGCTTCCAACCAAGAACTAACTACAAGGCAGCAGTTGTTTGATTTTGGAATTGACTCTCCAGCTAACGAGCCTCATCTGCCCGGGGGTACGAACTCGAGACTTTTTGGTCATGAGTTTTTACCGACTCGACCACGCCGTTTTTGCTCACAGGACATTTTAAAATGGATGATATGTTGTACGATAAAAACCTACTGAATAGTCAGTTATATCAAGTTGATAAAACAGTGTGCTGATTTGTAGGTGGATTATGATATTAAAATATATTGTAATATATCAAGAAAAAAAACCATTCGCACACATTTTTAAGAAAGTTAATTTGAGTTAAAATAATCCGCCAGTGCCGACGTACTTTGTGAACGGTTCTAAGCAATATAGTGTTCTATCGGACTCTATCCATATTGTTGTAAGGAAAAAAAATTCCAGGAAAGTAAAATGTAGTTTACAAGTTGACAGTGAAAGAAGTAAGATTGTAAAATCAAAACGTGTACATATATTACAAATATGTGTATATGTAGACGCATATATAAAAACATGTATATATACACTTATACATACATATACACATATATACACACATAAACATATGCATACATATACACACATGTGCATTAACATATACACATACTTACATATACATAAACAAGCATTCAAATACAATCATACATAAACGTGTAAAATTATTTATCTAAATTTTGTTACTCACTTCCCATTTTAGAAAAATTGAACACATTTAAGGGAAAGAATCTATGCCTGTGCCCTCAAAAGTTTTTAACATACAGTGATATTAAGTATTTACAAAATTTTGAATTAAACTGAATTTTAATATTAAAATAAATATGTATAATAAAATTGTCAAATGAATTTGTGGTGTCAAATATGTCATATATACATGTTTTAATTTGATCTTAAACCTAATTTAAAATTGAATCCTAATAGTTTTACTGAATATTTATATTATATATATATAAAGTTATTTCTTTTAAACTAATCGCAGTAAATGTTACTCATATTGGGTTTTCCCAAAATTGATCATTTAAAAAAAAAAACAAAAACAAAAAAAAACGTTTGAGCACTTTATAGATATAGATCTAGTTCAGGGGGTCTGAAAACTTTTCAGTCCGAGGGCCGCATTAACTATCAAATTTCAGTTCGGGGGCCAGTTACTTCCAGGACATGTCTTTGATTTTTCTGGACAAAGTTCCTCAACCATCACCAACAAACGTTTTTTTCTTGGACAAAAAGATCTCCGCGGGCCGGATGAGAGGACTTCGCGGGCCGCATCCGGCCCGAGGGCCGTAGTTTGGAGACCTGATCTAGTTGTTTTGAAACAGAAGAATGGTTGCTTTGATGTGTCTCATTGTAATAACATAACTTTTCCGATTGCTTAAAATTTGTATCATTGTAATTCTCTGTAAATCACACATTTAAAAAAATATTTGGGATACAGCTGTTGTATGTCCCTTGACGTAATGAGTCAAGGTGGGATATTTGTGGTATGTTTTAGACGTTTGAACAGTATCAGTCGTTAGCTGTGAGGCGGAAGTTTAGTATCCAAGCCAAATACACGTTTCCATCGATTTCATATCTTAGTCACTTCATTCCAGAGTAGTTCTAACACATTCCGTCTAAAAATATGTGATTGACTACTTCTGCAGTACCACGTCATATCTAGCACGGCTCCTAACCCGTAAGTCCCGGGTTCGGATCCGTGCTTGGAGTTCGTAGAACGTCCTTGAGTCCACCCAGCTGTAATGTGTACCTGACTTACGTTAGAGGGGGTAAATTTGGCTGGGCAAATTGCAGATCACACTGTCTTTTAATATACCGAGGTCATAGTAACAGGTAAACTCTACTTCATCTTCCCCCTTGGACCATGTTTACAACAATATTGTCCACCTCCCCTCCCCTTCACCTGTGATCCGATTACCCTCAGGATCACGTAATCGATTCCACGTCATCCTCCTCTCGCCTGGGGTCCATGTTCTGGACGTCATCAATCACGCCTCATCAATACCGACGGTCCCACCTAATTGTGTGGATCTCTGTTGGGGGACAAGCGAGGCCCTGATTGATTGAGGGGGGTGTTACGTAATTGTCCTAGTCAGGATCACCCACATCCCCCCTCCCCACACCTTCCTTCACCCCCCCCCCCCCCCCAACTTAAGAGAGCGTGTAAAACGTGTAGCAAGGTGTTTCTCAAGTCCGGTCAAGTGGTCAGTCGTCTGACTGATGAAGTCACGTCACCTGCGTGCATACATTAAAGGTGAGTGAGTCATTTGTTTATTTATAAGACTACATCTTATGCCGTTTGAATTTCTGTACAGTTATTTAAAGAGATATTAGATAATTGACAGTTATTTAAAGAGATATTAGATATTTGTCAAATATTTATGAGATATTAGATAATTGACAGTTATTTAAAGAGATATTAGATAATTGAGTTATTTAAAGAGATATTAGATAATTGACAGTTATTTAAAGAGATATTAGATATTTGTCAAATATTTGAGATATTAGATAATTGACAGTTATTTAAAGAGATATTAGATAATTGACAGTTATTTAAAGAGATATTAGATATTTGTCAAATATTTATGAGATATTAGATAATTGACAGTTATTTAAAGAGATATTAGATAATTGACAGTTATTTAAAGAGATATTAGATAATTGACAGTTATTTAAAGAGATATTAGATATTTGTCAAATATTTATGAGATATTAGATAATTGACAGTTATTTAAAGAGATATTAGATAATTGACAGTTATTTAAAGAGATATTAGATAATTGACAGTTATTTAAAGAGATATTAGATATTTGTCAAATATTTATGAGATATTAGATAATTGACAGTTATTTAAAGAGATATTAGATAATTGACAGTTATTTAAAGAGATATTAGATATTTGTCAAATATTTATGAGATATTAGATAATTGACAGTTATTTAAAGAGATATTAGATAATTGACAGTTATTTAAAGAGATATTAGATAATTGACAGTTATTTAAAGAGATATTAGATATTTGTCAAATATTTATGATACATAAGTTATCAATTTATTCAAATATTTAAAGAGATTTCATGATGGTCAAATATTTAAAGAAATATTGAATAATTGTAAAATGTTTAAAGAAACATTGAATAATTGTTAAGCATTTAAAGAAATCTTGAATAGTTGTCAAATATTTAAAGAAATATTGAATAATTGTTAAGCATTTAAAGAAATATTGAATAATTGTCAAATATTTAAAGAGACTTGATTACTATATCCAAAAAACCTTACCTAAACCCACTTTCTAGCCCTAGTTTTACTATGTTTTTATATCTTTATCTAAACCTAACCACGAAATTTAATGTAATCTTTGAAGGTGAGTCCTATAATTGAATGAAAATTAAAGTTCCCTTTTAGAACCCGATGATCCATGGGATCAGGTGAAGTAGAGTTCAACTGTTTCAGTGAAGGAATAGTGTGGTCAGCACCATGTGGATATAACGTGGATATAACGTGCATGCAACGTGGATTCTATTTTCGCTACTCTCTAAACTTCAAATTTCGGTCAATGGACTGACATGGGGGATATTTAAACGGAGGAATTGTCGTCCACGTAATAGGGGTGGGGGAGACAGGTAAAGCACCATACTGTGCAGGTAACCTACCATGAGAATATACTAAGGATACTATAGATAAAACCATACTGGAAGGGAAGCCCACAAGAGAAGCAATATATGAAGTGTATTGTTAAAGATGGCTGGGCATTGAACTGACAAGACTATCTCTTTTTTGAGTGTTATTAATATTTGTGACGCAATTTTCCAAATGCGAGGTGGGGAGGAGGTGGGAATGTCTGGCATTTTCTAACGTGTGAGGGGGGGGGGGGGGTCTAAAATAAAGAGATGTATTGTTTGGAGGACATCTATACTTTATGTATTAATAATTGTTGAAATGTTTTGTTATGCCACATGCAATAGTAAAATGACCATACGCAAGCTATAAACAAACTAAACTACCCCGAATACCAAGGAAACTGCCGGATTAATTTTACAACTGGTACGTACGATAGTAAATTGTTTTGTAGTGTAAGGTGACCTACTTTCTAAAAATAGCAACGCGACAAACACCGGCCCCTAGTAAATAGAGAAGTCGACTCCTCAAACTGAACGCCTGACTACGATTCCCATTGAACGAACCACCGGCTCGGCGTGTGTGTATAAATATTCAGGACCTATCGCCAGTTGAGGCATGCGTAGTCCCGCTTTTTGTTGTTGGGGTGTCTGATATTTTAGCGACACGTCTACGGGAGTTCTGTCAACCTCGACTGGCCCAGCGAAGTACAGCCTAAGCCAGAAGATTTCACACGCTAATGTGTTGTGTTCAGCTTGTTGCACGCCTGACGTGTAGTGCTTTGAACCCACGTCTTTTGACCTGAATATTCGACGGGTCAGTGTTTTGATGTATGGGAGGGATCCGTGTTTGACCGGAAATGAAGTTTGATTAGACTAGCAGCAGACGTGTTTTTTGTTGTGTTTTGTCGCTGGTGATTTGAGAAAGGCGAAAGGTATGTTTTAGTAATACTGTTTAGATTTAGATTCTACATGTAACTCGTAAGCAAGAGGTTATACCTTTTTTAAAATCCGTGATTATTCTATAGTAACACTATTTTGCTTTCTTAAAAATGTAAGCAATGTAGTGTAGCCTATTTGTTATTATTTATTCCTTAAGTTGTAAAGCCGGTATCCCAGTATTTATTTAAGACTTTAACTTTAAGACTACATTTAAAGAGAGAATTAACGGTATTTTTTTTTTAGCCATGATAAACTTTGGGACTAGAAAAGATCTGGATATAGATCTAGATCTAGTTCTAGAATTCAGTGGTTCTAGTGCAAAGTTGTATTTTTAAACTTTGCAAAATATTGCTTGAAGTGTTGAGCGATTACATTTGAAAGTGTGTGTGTGTGGTGGGGGGGGGGGCAGTATTTCTTCCAGACTTTTTTTCTCCCCCCCCCCCCCCCCCCCCCGAAGAGATGCCTGGAAGAAACTCTGGGGGGAAGGGGGGGGGGGGGATGGACATTAAAGGGCTGCATATCCAATATCAGCTGCTTTAGGTTTACTTGGTTTTCACTTAATTAGCAAACTAAGCTTCCTACACTAAGATTTCTCATCTCTTATTGCTTAGTTCAAGGGTTTAATTAAAAACTTTCATAGTAAAACAAAAACGAAAAATGACGTCACATTGAGAATACAGTAGAAAATAGTATCAAGCCGGAGAGTGCACACAATAATATGACATCATTGATTCTCGAGTAAACATTGAATTAAAAAGCCAATTTTGTCTAATCTTAAAAGTGGTTTGCGTGAAGAGTTTCACTCATACAATTTTTCGGGTAGGGGCGAAGCCCATCCCCGCGTAAGAACGTCTAAGCCGACCCCCTTCCCCCCCCCCCTCCCAACTAAAAAAAATGCCGTCATCGATACTCTATAATAGCATTACAGCCTAATTAATGTGTCTAATCTAAAAAGTGGTTTGCGTGCAGAGTTTCTTTCATGCAATTCTTCGGGTAGTGGCTAACCGCGACACCAGTGTTTCTTTCAGACTTTTTCCTCCCCATAGGGGGGAGCTTTTTCTAATCTAAAAAGTGTTTAGCGTGCAGTTTTTTTTTCAAGCATCTCTTCCGGTAGGGGCGAAGCCCCGCCCAGGTTCTTCCTTTAGTTTGTATGATCTACAAATGCGACCAGTGTTTCTTTCAGACTTTTTCCTCCCCGGAGAGGGGTGGGGGTACTTGAAATTTTCGGGGTCGGGGGTGGAATTTTGTGGAGGGGGTGGACACTGGAAAAAAGTATATAATTATATTTCGTTGAATGGGACGGTAGATGTGCTTTAAGGTGTGTGTGTGGGGGGGGGGGGGGGGGGGGGGGCGGCAAGTAGAGTCGCCTAAAAGAGACTCTAAATGCGACTTTTCTCATGATTGAGATTAGTTGGGGTATTTTTTAAAAATGTATTTACTTATTTATTCAATAACGGTAACGTTAGTATCAATGTGCAGTAACTAAGTGGAGATCAAGAATAAATCCGAATTAAAGTACCGATTCTGGATAAAAATCCGTTTTCAATGTCATTTTTCGTTTCCGGTTAAATTGAATTCAGGTGGTGATTTTGGTTTTGGTTTTAGTTTAGAGAAAATAGACAGCACTATCAACCTAGCGCCCGTTGTATCCTTTCTCAACGGGCCATTTTTCTCGTTAAATATAATTAGCGGAAGACTGACTAAAACTGAGCATATGTCTTTTGAGTGCGGGATTATGATTCTAAAAATAGATTATTAGGAAAAAAGAAAGTGAAAGTGTTTATATTTCGTAGTAATGCCGCCGAAACGAAAAGCTGAGCCACCGCCGTCGACTTCATCACATAAAGTTGGTGCAAAAGATGAAGCAAAAGACCGAAATGTCAACAAAAGAAGTAGAATGACTGCATCTCAGGCAATACAACTGCTTATTGATTCTGATGAAGAAGATAATATTCCTGGTCTATATTGTGATGATAGTGACGTTGAATTTGAGACTGAACACAGTGACCTTGAAATCGACAGTGACAATGAAACTGTTCAAAAGTTATAGGCAAAGTTAGAAGCAGATAAGTGAAAATTGGTTTGGGCCTGGGAGCTCAGGAAATGGGAGAAATTAGGCCAGGGAGGCCAGGGCTCAAAGGGTTAAGCTTGATCGGGGACCCAGGCTGATAATAGTCCGAGGGTCAGTTGAACAGTTTTGGGGATCCTATTTACTCGATTCCTGATGGGCTATTGTACGTCGGCGCGTTGACTTTTTATATCTTGTTAAGTTATGTAAGAGAATTAGAGGGCTATAGTGCCCGGCTACATTAAACTCCTCATTATCTAACCTAACCCTAACATCGATCTGACCTAACCATAACATCGACCTCACCTAACCCTAACATCGACCTAACATCGATCTAACCTAACCCTAACATCGATCTAACCTAACCATAGGATCGATCTAACCTAACCATAACATCGATCTAACCTAACCATAACATCGATCTAACCTAACCCTAACATCGATCTAACCTAACCATAGGATCGATCTAACCTAACCAAACATCGATCTAACCTAACCCTAACATCGACCTAACCTGACCATAACATCGATCTAACCTAACCCTAAGATTGATACCGACATTGAAGAATGCACAAGTACGATACTTTGTTGCTCTGTACTAGATATACAAGAAAGCATATTTCCCCAGCATTGTTAATATTTATTTATTTTTGTGCCCATTCAACGCGAGGATCTCAACGTCTGTTTATTCATTGTTGTTGTTTCCAAAGCGTGTAGGCGACTGTCAACGAATCCATAACTCCAGAGCATTGTTAAAATTAATTTTTAGTTTTTATTTGTGTCTATTCATCGCGAAAATTTGAAGTGTTTAATCGATTGTTGTTTCAGTGCATAACAAACAATTTTTTATAGACTATACCAATCCTTGCACATACCTTACACATTTAAAACGGGCCTTAGAATGGCTTACCTTTCTGTTTTTAACTAAACCTCGGATGGGTGTAATATATTTGAAGGTCTTGGCTTAGTGCGCAGTACATATACAACCCCGTGCGGCCGTCATAGAGAACCAAGGTTGAGATCGTTTCGCAACATTGCGTTTGCGGTCGGTGTGTTAGTGATTTCAAAGGAAGATTTAGGGTGTGTGTAGTGTAAAAGTTACATTAGGGAAGTGCAATGTGGTTGTGAAATGCTTCGTGTTACAATGTTACAACTGTAGGGTGTTTTATACGTGGGTAGCGATATTGAGATATTTATGACAAGGTAAAAGGTGAGTAGATTGTGATTAAATGCTTGGTAGAACAGGTGAAGCAGAGTTAGTCTAACATTGTAACGACGAACATAGGCTCATGTTATATTTTACTTATAGGGCCTATAAATCTGTTTATTGCGAATTCGTATATATTGTTTCAAAGGTGAATGTTGCAATATCAGCTATAATTAACTTAAGTGTCTGCTTAAGTTATTCGATATAACATTTTCTGTGACTAATCAAAGTAGATCACTTTTCACAAGGGACATTGGGTCAGCGGTAAAGCTCATAGTCCCGAGTTCGAACCCACGGGAAGATGAGGCTCGATGGCTGGGGACAGCAACTCATCTATTAGAGACAACTCCAAAATCAAACAACTGCTGCCTTGTAGTTTGTTCTTGGATAGACAAAGGCTATGGAAGTAAATCCATAAAGAAAAGCAGGTTGAAATTGGAGTAAAATACGGCACATAACAAGTTGACACGAAATACTTGTGCTCATCAATTAAGGACGAAGAAGAAGATAAGGGATATGTATAATCACTAAAAGCCCCTTCCCCCTTAAATTATGAAAGGTACGGATTGCACTCAATATATTATCGTAAACATATAATCAAAACGAATATGGTACTTGAACCCTGAACCTTAAGGTTAACTCTCTTGTTTACAGCCACCCTTGTCACATATCCTACCCCAACAAGGGTATTCAGCCAGCTACTAGATCTTTTCACTTCCTTGACTGTGCTGTATATACATCGTGTTGACAAGTTGATCGCTAGACCAGTGGTTCTCATCATTTGTCTCCTCTACCATATACCACATACACACCATACATCAATTTCTGTGGCTCTACAGCGTATTGGGGGGGGGGGGGGGGGTGGTTGGCCTGCTTTACCACCTTCTTCCGCCCACTTGATTCTTCAAGGTATGCATTCTAATATGTCTGAGGTATATCCCCGCATCACGTGAGACTATAGTATCCGCCCATTGGTTTTCCCTTACAACTCCATTAGGATCTTGTCCCCAGCCATTCAAATAAATTATAAATTATAGAAAGGATATGAAACTTTAACTATTAATATATAATTAGCATGAAAAGGTGTGTATGTCGTTACCTTCAACCCTAACCCACAAGGTTGCATGCATAGAATTAGAGCTGACAATAAGTGGGCGGGGCTTAACTTTTCACGCATGCACTTTTTGCATTAATAGCGGGGCTTATCTGGACAAAATCCCCAGATGGTTTTATTGAAAAGCACTCTCCCCCCCCCCCCCCCAACTGTTTATCCCGTTTTATAACACAAACTGCTTGTATTTAATGTTTATAGTGTTCTCATTAACCCCGACGTTCAAATTTACCCCTATCTCACTAGGGTATGTATAACAAATACCTGTAACTACCCTACTATCAACACCCGCCTCCAATTTTTATATGCAAATATATTGTGGATCAGAACGAACAGATTACGTCGTAAATAACAAAGAATCGTTTAAGACGAACTATTGTTAAATATAAACGAACAACGGCACGCCTCTTCGTATTGTTGGTGCTTGTTAACTTGGTTAAGTGGTGATTGTTAACCTTGTTTTATGGTGTTTGTTACTTTGTTTATTGGTGATTATTAACTTTGTTTAGTGGGTGCTTGCTAACTTAGTTTAATGAGTGCTTTTTTTTTTGTTAATAATACGAATTTGGGGTTATCCATTAACGACTTCACGTTTTTTAAAACGATTTCCCCCTAACAATATTAAAAAATCGTCACAAAAGTTAAATCCCCTCCCGCCCCCCCCCCCCCCCCAAAAAAAATAAACATAAAGGCGCAACTCAGCTTACAAGGAGTGTGATGTCATTTATAAACGACCCGTATGTGCACATTTCCAAGTCACTGACTCGGATACTTTAGCCCCATTTGCGAGGCATCAACTTAGCCTAACACTGTGATTACACTTGCGACATGTATACTATACATGTCTTAAAAAAAACAACTCGCAACAAGTTCATGTTATATGAAAACATGTTCCCATGGAACATGTAGAATTAATTGCTGCGAGTTTATCACTAGACATGTAAAGTATACAATGTCGCTAGTGTAAACGAGGTGTAAAACATTTAGTTACCTTATCATTGATATGGTCGATGTCATTTTATAGGTGTGAATGATAATATTCAGCAAGAACCCACTTGAAGTTCATGAACAATTAAAATATTATTAATTTAACCAACCCTCATCATTAATCTTGATGTTCAGATAACGGAAGTAATAAGAAAATAATTATTTAAAAATTATTTTACCAAGTGTTAAATATCCTGGGATAAACGGATAATATCTCTGATTCCGCCCAACTCCTTTTTAACAATTTAACTAGTGTTTCTTTGAGACATTTCTCCGGGGGTCACTGAAGGCCATCCTCCACACGATCACACCCACGCCGTATTCAGACAAAGTAGCTAAAGTATCTATTAGGAAATAAATACTTTAACCAGTGTACCCCCCCTCCCCTCGAAGTTTCAAGTGCCACAGCCCCCCAAAACTTTCACCCCTCCCCCCAGCCTTGGGAGAAATAAAAATTCTGAAAGTCTGTTTAATCCCGGCTAGATCAAAAGGTGGTTGGGTGCATGCCCCTGGGGTCATCTGACTCGTGTAAGAAAAGATTGCACATGCAGAGCTCAGCAGAAATTGCAGTGAATAACCTGATCAGACGAGCGTAATTGAGGGTTAATTAGGGTCCAATTAGTGTTTATCTCCAGAAATTTGAAGATAATGACAGTTGCTGTTTTTTTTTTTCCCCACCTGATCTGGTAAACTTAAAATAGATTTTATTTTCTCAAGACTAGGTGAAACTAATTTTCCCTGAAGAGTAAAAAAAAATCTAAATATTTGATTTCAGTTTTCCGGTTTCAAAGAAAAAAAAATACAAAGAAAAACAAAACAACAACAAAAAAAGCAACAAAAAATAAATAAATAAAAAATAAAGGGTAACGTCCTTTATTTAATCCGCAGCATAGCTTTAAGCTTGCCTAAGTAAAAGGGTTAAAGGACCCAAACTACAGGCATGGGTTCAATGATTATAACTCATCCACGGGCAAAGGTTTAAAGATCCCAACCCTAACCAATAGACTAAACGCTGCTAACTTCACTCTAGGCTAAACGCTACTAACTTAACCCTAGGCTAAACACAACTAACCAAAGACCAGGGACATTGACCCTTAACTGACACAAAAGTCGGTGCCGATAACACCACATGACCCCCCTACAAGACTGACCTGGGGTCTAGAACAATATAAGAGCTGCTGAAAGTTCCAGTTATCAGGACAACGTGAGAACCGCTGGAGTTCTAGATAACACCTGACCGCAAACAATAGGAGCCAAAACAATCCTGGCAATCTGGCATCACATGACTCACTAAAGCTGTCAGCTTGCACCTGGCTATTGTGTTAGGCTGGTGTCCGTAGTATGACGTCAATGGTACTATATATAATTAGTATGGGACGGCGTGATCAAGCTGGAGGGCGCTAGACTGCTAACTCTAAGGTCTTGAGTTCGAATCCGGGTTGAAGTCAGTAGAACGTCCATAAGCACATAAATCCTTGATGAGTACCTAACTCTTATTAGAGAAACAAGGGCGGCTGAGCATAGTTCTGACCAAAACTATACCTTCAAATTGAAGGTCATTGAAACAGATGGGATCTGCTTCATCTGTCCCATACATCTGGACAAGAACGAGGAAACATGATGATATATAGCTAAAGCATCATACCTGCAAGTCCGTGACTTAATACATTAAAAGCGCATTCCTCCCATTTGTTTTAACTAGTCTTCTGTCGGAGGTGTATTGTTAACAAGCGCGTGTTTTAGTGCAAGCTGTGTTTAGTTAACAAACATTCTGGTTTTTATTCAGTAGTGAATCGTGGTGATACCACCCCCGCACCAACATTGTCGTCACCTACTTAATCATGAAAGTGTCACCTCCCCCCTCCTAGCCTTTCCTCCCCTTCTCCCCCCCCCCCCTAGCCTTTCCTTCCTCTTCCCCCCTCCTGGCCTTTCCTCCCCTACCCCACCCCCCTCCTAGCCTTTCCTCCCCTACCCCACCCACCCTCCTAGCCTTTCCTCTCCTACCCTCACCCCCTCCTAGCCTTTCCCCTTTCCCCTTTCCTCCCCTACCCCCACCCCCTCCTAGCCTTTCCTTTCCTCCCCTACCCCCACCCCTCCTAGCCTTTCCTCCCCCACCTCCCCCTTTATTGCCTTTCCTCCCCTCCCCACCCCCTCCTAGCCTTTTCCTCACACCATTTATTTATCTCAACGACCCACGACACATATGAGGTCATACGCTCCTGTTGTTTTTACCTGTCCCGTATTTCCGCGCGGCTCTAATGATAATAGCGCTAATTTATCACCGGTAGTGTTTTTATAATATAATCATCATGAATGAGAAATGCAACGTTGGCCTAATTTGGTCCACCCCGACCATTAGTACCACCGTACTCCCCCTCCCCACCGGTCTTTACCTGAGAAAATCTTGAGTCTTCAGTCACAACCTGGGATATCTTGATTGTGTTAAGTAGGAAAGTTTTCCCTTCGGTGCTAATGATCTTGTCACAACATCAGATATTTTGACTATGTTTAGAAGTAAAGTTCTCCTTTCTGACCTAACGATCCCATGGATAGATGAAAGACTTAATATGTCGAACTCGGCATAGTGTGGTCAATTGTGTACCCTGTCACTTTTATTTTTGTTCTAATTAAAGTCAGGAACCCATTAGAGCTGGGTTGACTCCTATGACAAAAATTGCGATACGAAAAAAAGTGCAACAAAAATTTGCACACAGAAAAATGCGCAAAGAGAAAAGTGTGCACATCGAGAAAGAATGCATACATAAACATTCGAACCTTTCTCTTTAAGCATTTTTTCTGTGTGCGCATTTTCTGTTTTCGGTTGCGTATTGTTCTGGTCATCGGATCCGAACTCGTGATTTTCGGTTAGCAGTCATGAGCTCTACCCCAGGCCATGTTGTAACAGTGTATCAATATCAACATAGTTTACTCTAGATTTCTTAATAAAATATAGATGGTATTACCATTTCAACGACATTTATAAAACCATCACTTCGACCACCTCATCCGTCCAATATACTTGATCACGTGGTATACAATCTTTTATTTTATTATTTCAGAACAAGATGTCAGGTAACCCAGTGACGAGTTTCTTCACAAAACTTAGACGTCCCGAGACCAGGGACAAGTCGAGGGAACGAAATGTCTCCAAGGAAAGAAACGTCTCCAAAGAAAGAAATGTCCCCAAAGAAAATGTCGCGAAAAAATCCGACGAAGGAAAACGTACTGAGCAAGTAAAAGTACAAAAGCGACAACGTCTAAAAAGTGATTCCGAGGCCACTGTGAAAAATGAAAACACGAAAAGAAATGTCAAGGCCGAGAGACGGAAATCCAGCGCAATGTCGTATCTATTGTGTATGTCCAAGAACGGAGACACGCTTGAAAGAGCACCACCAACATCCCGCCCGGAAAAGGCTAAAGACAATAAAAATGTGAAACAGCAGAATAAAGGAAACAAAAAAGAAGGTTTGTCTGAGAAAGTCGAGAACGGAAATGATAAAACTACCGAGGGGGGCGGCAATCTTGCGCCACGTAAAGGGTGGTTTTCTCCTGTAGGAGTTCTTCCCCCTGAGTTGCTGGTCAACAAGCCCAATGAAGTCAAGGAGAACAACTACGGTCCGATGTATCAGCCGGCCCGCGGCCCCAGCCAAGGCGTCCGGTACCGTGTAGACGGGACTCTAGAAAAGCCGTACGTTTTCCCTTCCGGTTTCACTTTCGGACCGGAAGGGAGAAAAATTCAACTGCGGCGAAGCACGCCGGACTACCTCAACAACCTGGATAAAAATAGCGTCAAGGTCAAGGCTGAGAAGGTCGCCGTGGACGTCCACGCGCCGTCTCCGGTCGCGGAAGAGTTCGACGCCAAGAAAGCTTTTTACCTGAAGTTTGACGCCATGGTGCACGAAGCCAACCAACGAAACTTATACCGACACAGCATGCCTGAGGTTCCTCAATCGTTTAACGTATACACTGACATGGACACCAATCCAAAACACGACAGTGCGAAAAGTCTCAACACAAAATTACCAACGGTGGATGAGAAGGTTCCAGAAATTTCCGGCGGTGTTCGTGAATCGTGGAGGGACAAACGGAAACGGGAGGGGGAGGGAAAGGTGCGCAGAAGTCAAAGAAAGAACCGGTACAGTATGCCGGTTAAGAATGATGAATACGTGTACATGGGAAGTTTTGAGAATGTTAACTTGTGTGATTCGTTAGATAAAAGAGTGAATAAAGGGAGAGAAGAAGCGGAAGAGGAAGAGAGGAATAAGAAAGTGGATTCGCATCGGTACAGCATGCCGGTGAAAAACTCGGATCTGGTGTATATGGGGAGTTTGGAGGACTTAAACAAACATGGCGTGGAGAATGACAGGAGTGGTTCGCCTCGGGAGTTCACCAAATCCGACGCCAGTAGATGGAGCAACGCCAGTATACAGAATTACGTCAGACCGCCAGCGTATAAGGACGGGTCTTCCCGTGAAAAAGTGTCTGAAGATGGTCGAACTTCCGATCCGAGAAAAATATCCAGCGGCGATACGAATGTTGGGACGTCAATGACGTCATTGAATGCGGACGTGAAGAATGTTAAGGTTGAAGATGAAGAGGAAGATGATTTTTTCGATGAGGATTTTACAATGTCGAGGCCGGCGGTGAATCCATTTAGCAGGGCAGGGGCGAGGTCTTCATACATGCCTGACAACAAGAGGTTCATGGCGCCGCCTCCCGTGGCGTGCGTCTCTAAACCCAACAACACAACAATGGCTTCTTTGTCGCCTAGCAACGGCATGAAAACCGCAGTGGCAGGGGGTAAGCTGTTCAACATTCCTCCCCCTCCCAATTACACGCCCCCGTGGGAGGAGATGGAGAGCGCCCAGGGTAGGTTGTCTGAGTTCGCGGGCTGCCACAAAGGTTCTCAGGTGGATATCAGCTTTGACGCCGAGTCCCTGACGATGGAAGAACGCGACATGAGCCTCAACAGGATCAGCGCTAAGACGCTACAGTCCGTCGTCACGGGTGACCGAACTCCCGACCCCAGGCTGAGATCCCATGACTCATCCACGCAAGTTACCGCCAGCCGAGGTATCTCACCATCACCACAGCTTCAATCTACACCTGCACATTCAGGCGCAGAGAGACGTTTAGAAAATAATAACCTTTCGGTTTCACGGGCCAGTACACCGTGTCAGGTTAAACCTGTTAACACGTCACCCAAACCACAGGTTAAACACTTTAACACGTCACCCAAACCACAGGTTAAACCTGTTAATACGTCACCCAAATTACAGGTTAAACACTTTAACACGTCACCCAAACCACAGGTTAAACCTTTGAACACGTCACCCAAACTGCAGGTTAAACCTTTTAATACGTCACCCAAACTACAGGAGTTGAACCAGGTTAAACCTTTAAATAGTTTACCCAAACCACAGGAGGTAAACACCGACTATGAATACATTTATTTAGCTGGAAGCTCGCCTCAGGTTTTAAATAAACCTATTCGAGTATCCAACGCAGATTCAGGTTTAAGACACGGCGTCAACGACAGCACCACAACTGCCGAACCATCACAACCACCACAACCTGAAACCAGCACCACACGGACGGTGGTCACGTCGACGCCAAAATCCGTCCGCAGACCGAAATCTGACGCAGGTACCGCAGGCGACAGACCGGTACCCTCGCCGAGAAAAAGATTCAGCGGGATGGTCCTGTCAGACTCCAGCATCAACAACGACACGTTTTTCACCCTCGTCGACATCACCGACATCCACGAGACCCAACCACAGAAATCCCCACCCGTGCCCAGAAAACGCCAGACTGTGTCTCAGAGTTCCCCGGACGTTAAAGAAACTCCGGAATCCAAACCTCTCCCGAAATTAAAACCAGACGCAACGAGCAATTGTTACGCTGTGACCGAGTTGTTAGTTGGCCCAACGTGTCAGCTTAATTCTTCATCAAATCCTTACAAAACTGTGGACATTACACCAGAGAGGCGTTCTTCTACTTCTCATATTTACGAGGACGTTGAAAAAAAATCCATTACACCTGCAAATAATTCCTCACCTAAATCTATTACGCCTGCAAATAACTCCTCACCTTCGAAAGGTCAGCATTATGAAGCGTGTGGGAGTTTGACCAAAGAAGGCGTTAAAGAAGATCAATATTTCTTCATAGAACTCGAGAAACGCCCACCCCGCAATGCTGAAATTCTCGCACCATTACAAACAATAAAACTGACGGATTCGCCAAGTCCTCGGAGAAAGACGGAAGTGACGTCATCAGCAGGGTACCAGAGCTTATCCCCGCGGCCAATCTACACCGGGCTGTCGTCATCGACGTGCGACCTGGTCGATGTGTTCCATGATGAGAACGCCAACTGCCCCAAGTTCAGCAACCACCTAGAGAACGACGACGACAACTGCGTGGCGGATGACGAGTTGAGCGGGTGCAATGAAGATGATGAGGACGAGGACAGGGTAAAGACGAGGTCGTTGAAGAAGTGGGCGTCGGCCGATGACATCATCAGGAGTGGGAGTATTTTAGACAGGTGAGTTGGTTTACATGAAGAGCGTTTTTGTTGTCACCTTTTTAAAAAACTGTATCTTCGTTGTTCTGAATTGCGATATACAAGGGGATTTTTGCCAACACAATTAAGTATTTAGTGTCAGCATGCTATGCGCCATATAGCTCGTTGACTTCAGACTTATTTCCTTTCGGAATTTGCACCCATAAACTTTGTTTATCCAATATCAAACTACAAGACACGGGTTGGTTAAATGTGCAGTTTTCTCTCCAAAATGGCTAGCAGCTAATGAGCCTAATCTGCCGGTGAGAAGGGGAAGCGGGGAGCGGGTAAAGAGATCCGAACTAAGGAGTATTCAAGCGATATTCCGTCCGACCACGCCGCCCCCATCCCTTCATGTAACGACGTATGCCTATAGAAATGGTAGGGGGTATTAAATCGTCATTATAATAACCATTCTGCCGAGTGCCATTAAATTTAATACAAATAGTAAACCTTATAGTTTAAAGCGGATGTTAGTTAATTAAGAGTTGGTGGGATCTAGCCTAAAGACATTGTTGATCTGTCGTGACTGATTGCAACCTTAAAAACAGATTCGTCAAAACAAGCTTTTTTTTTTAAAATTAGAATTTTGAACTTTTCGATACAGCAAGCGTTAAAAACAAGGAGTGGGGCATTTTAATCGGGAACTTAAGTGGGGCATTTTAATCGGGAACCTAAGGGGGGGCATTTTAATCGGGAACTTAAGTGGGGCATTTTAATCGGGAACTTTAGTGGGGCATTTTAATCGGGAACTTAAGTGGGGCATTTTAATCGGGAACTTAAGTGGGGCATTTTAATCGGGAACCTAAGGGGGGCATTTTAATCGGGAACTTTAGTGGGGCATTTTAATTAGGAACCTAAGTGGGGCATTTTAATTGGGAACTTAAGTGGGGCATTTTAATCGGGAACTTAAGTGGGGCATTTTAATCGGGAAGCTAAGGGGGGGGGGGCATTTTAATCGGGAAGCTAAGGGGGGGGGGGGGCATTTTAATCGGGAACTTAAGTGGGGCATTTTAATTAGGAACTTAAGTGGGGCATTTTAATCGGGAACTTAAGTGGGGCATTTTAATCGGGAACTTAAGTGGGGCATTTTAATCGGGAACTTTAGTGGGGCATTTTAATTAGGAACTTTAGTGGGGCATTTTAATTAGGAACTTAAGTGGGGCATTTTAATCGAGAACTTAAGTGGGGCATTTTAATCGGGAACTTAAGTGGGGCATTTTAATCGGGAACTTTAGTGGGGCATTTTAATTAGGAACTTTAGTGGGGCATTTTAATTAGGAACTTAAGTGGGGCATTTTAATCGGGAACTTAAGTGGGGCATTTTAATCGGGAACTTAAGTGGGGCATTTTAATCCGGAACTTAAGTGGGGCATTTTAATTTGGGAACTTAAGAGGGGCATTTTAATCGAGAACTTAAGTGGGGCATTTTAATCGGGAACTTAAGTGGGGCATTTTAATCGGGAACTAAATAAAGTATAGTTTTGGTATGGCTGTGATACTCTACCCTCTACGCCTCATAGTTTTGGTATGGCTGTGATACACCACTCTCTATGTCTGATAGTTTTGGTATGGCTGTGATACCCTACTCTCTACGCCTAATAGGGTTATCTTTTGTTTGAAAGAATTCAAAAGTTTAACACGCTACCATAGTTGAGGATTAAGAAGATTATGCTTGGCTCGCTGTTGCCTTTATGTTAAGGTTGGGATCATCACAAAGCAATAATTAGCAAGCCATTTGAGCTCACTTTCATGGAGCAAGCCCCGCCGTGATAGTGTTCACGTATACGAGTCTTCACCATGACGTCAGTCATATTGCACCCCCGGCTGTTTTGATATAATTACGAAAACCCAGTGAAGTTGGCGTAGAACATTAAGTTTGAGCTCTTTAACAACTCGTCGTTGTTTTGTTTATTTATGCTTTATGATGCATTTGGTAAAAAATTTCGGGGTGGGGGTGGGGAGTGGTTAGCAGCCAAGGCATTAAGTCTAAATTAAAAAAAAACACTTTTTTTAAATAAACCCAATTTATACTTAATTACACCAATTAATTTAATCGAAATATGACTTCTGTTTCAGTATAGTGTCTACAGTATAACTAAAAATATACTGCTTGTTCGCCCAGTGCTCAATTTGTTACTATTGTAATGTATATAAATAGTATTTATTTTTTAAAAAATTACAACACATTGGGGGGGGGGGGGCACAAGGACAGATGAAGTAGAGTTCACCTAATTCTGTGATTTCGTCATATAAAAGGGATAGTGTGGTCAGATCTATGTTTAACCGACTTTCTTGACTTGGGCATATAAAGGGATAATTAGGTCAACACTAATATGAGTCAAGTACCTTTATAGTTGGGTGGACTCTGGGACATTCTGCAGTTCTAAGCCTAGGAATCGAACTGGAGATTTTCGGGTTAGCAGTCTACGATGCGATCACTTCGTCGTAAAAATAGGAGTTTAAGACGTACTCAATAAATGGCATAACACACGCATAAAGTAGCGATGTCTTATACGTTTTTTGTTGTTATTGGTCTAATTAGTCTTAGCAAGTCCCGTAACTCTGCTATCTCTCAGCAGATCAATGATCCAGGCCAAGAAACGTCGACTGCGCAAGTCCAAAGCCCGGAGCCAAATCCTGATCCCTTCCGACATGGCGGACACTGACGAACCCATGTCGCCCGACGCCAGCTACCACCCGGGGAGACGCCACTACATCAAAAACAAAAACGCCGGCAAAAGCAAGCACTCGAACCCGAAGTTAAACCACACGGACTCTGGTCACGACAGTGACACGCTATCTCCTGCGCCAAACAGTTTCAGCAGCGCCATCTTGGATAGTCTGATAGCTAAACACAACACCAGTGCCAGAAAAAAATCCAGCGCGTCGAAAAAATCTTGGGAGACGCGACTTCAGAGCTTGCAGTGGCTGAGGAAGATTCGATCCCGGGAGAATTTGTTGAACCTGAACTCACCTGGGAGGTTGGTGTGAGGTGTCACGTTTATTTTGTCACGTTTGTGTCACGTTGATGTCACACCAGAAAGGCGTTGTGCTGTGTCACATTTGATATCCTGATAAAGCGTCACGCTGATTTTATGCGACAAAATGTACCCTCATTGTGTCACGTTAGGAATCACGTTATTAGTGAGTGTCACGTTTAAGACGTCACGTCAATGCGTCACGTCGAAATGCCATCTCAGTCGTACCCAACGCTTAAGAACACACTAAAGAAGAATCACATCAGAAACAATTTTTTCTTCAATATAGTGAACTGCCATGCAATGATATTTTGTCGCTCTAAAGCCACAAGGGAGGTAATCACTTTTAAAGACAGGCCGGTGCTTTTAGAGCTATAGGAAAGGATAAAAAATTTCCTGCTCATAACAGTAACAACTAGAGACTGACCACTAGAGGTATCCGCGTCATGGGTGGTTTGATGAGATTTGTTGTGTCTCATATACACCCATATCTGTACCATACATTTCTAGGGCCCCTAGACAAGTTGACAAGAATGTCCTTCTGGAGAGTGAGGTGACAAGAATGTCCTTCTCGACAGTGAGGTGACGAGAATGTCCTACTGGACAGTGAGGTGACAAGAATGTCCTGCTGGTCAGTGAGGTGACAAGAATGTCCTACTGGACAGTGAGGTGACCAGAATGTCCCACTTGTCTGTGAAAATGTCCTACTGGTCAGTGAGGTGACAAGAATGTCCCTCTGGTCAGTGAGGTGACAAGAATGTCCCTCTGGTCAGTGAGGTGACAAGAATGTCCCTCTGGTCAGTGAGGTGACAAGAATGTCCCTCTGGTCAGTGAGGTGACAAGAATGTCCCTCTGGTCAGTGAGGTGACAAGAATGTCCCTCTGGTCAGTGAGGTGACAAGAATGTCCTGGTCAGTAAGGTGACAAGAATGTCCCTCTGGTCAGTAAGGTGACAAGAATGTCCCTCTGGTCAGTGAGGTGACAAGAATGTCCCTCTGGTCAGTAAGGTGACAAGAATGTCCCTCTGGTCAGTGAGGTGACAAGAATGTCCCTCTGGTCAGTGAGGTGACAAGAATGTCCCTCTGGTCAGTGAGGTGACAAGAATGTCCTACTGGTCAGTAAGGTGACAAGAATGTCCCTCTGGTCAGTAAGGTGACAAGAATGTCCTACTGGTCAGTGAGGTGACAAGAATGTCCTACTGGTCAGTGAGGTAACTGGAATGTCCTGCTGGACAATGATGTAACAAGAATGTCCCACTTGTCTTTGAAAATGTCCTACTGGTCAGTGAGGTGTCAGTAATGTCCTACTGGACAATAAGGTGGCGAGAATGTCCTTCTTGACAGTTAGGTGACAAAAATGTCCTACTTGACCCTACAGTGCGGGTCTTTATGCCATGTCAATCCTGTAAGCTAAGCTGTCGTGGCTACAGAAGTGTAACATCACACACAAGCTAATCTGCCGTGGCTACAAGCGTTTAACATCACACACGAACAGATACATAACACACACACGCACACACACACACACACACACACTAATAAAAACATGAAAACACACACAAATACAAACACACTCAATAACACTTTATTTTCAAGCAAAATTATGTAAAGCACATGTTTAGTTTATAAGCAAAATACTGAACGGTTTCTTGTTATATTGTTGATGCCGGTACAAATGTTGATTATTCATATCAAAACCAACTTATCAATTGTTATTATACGGCTGGTAAAAAAGCTCATGATGCTATCAACTGTAAATGTGTAACTACATTGTTTATTTTTTATATAAGGGACATAATTGAAGACATTTTAGACATTTAACAATAACCCGATAACTTCCCTTGAGTGTTTTTTGTTTTTGTTTACAATTAATGGCATAAAGTTTGTTAAATTAGATAACGCACTATTAGGAGTTTTAAGTGATAAAACTACTCATCTCATTCATTCTTCCCTAGCAGATAACTGTCCTTGTCTCTTATTATCTAGGTAGACCATGGGTTCTCAAACTTTTTCGGGTGGCGACCCCGTTTAATAAATAGTAAGTGACCCTCTGTCCCCATAGAATTAAAAAGTCGAATAAGTAAGGAAATTAATAAACACCAAAATAATATTTTTTATTATAATTTTAATTAAAATTATTCTTGTTAACTGTTTTAATGTGTGAAATTGCATGCTATTAACTAGCCTAAAATTTTTCGGTTCAGTTTTTGTTAACAAGAACCTCATGTCATTCTCAACATTTAATTTATTTCTTTGTTATGTTTTTTAATTGGAGAAGTGTTTAAAATCCACTGTCGCAAAGATATGTACACAAAAAAGGAACTAAAACTCGAAAGGCAATCAATGTCACGTTTGAAGTTATTCAAGGAATCGCTCTCTCTCGACGTCTAATGTGAAATTATTCAATCTTCAAGACAAATTTCCAAATATTTTAGAACAGGCAGATTTACTTTCTCCTTGTTGTGTAAATGATACCCCACCTTTTTAAAACAAATTGTATGGAGAATTGTTTGGTTTAGTCTTCCAGTTGGCGAACCCTTGGAAACCCATAATCTAGACTTTTATTCAGTCCTTCATCGTACAATTTCCCCCTCAATTCTTTCTATCTTATGGCTCCTTTTTTATGTGTGTATATGTGTATATATATATATATATAGGCTTATATATATTATTGTTTAAATAATTAATAACATGTTGAATAAAGGAGATTATTGTTTACTGAGGGAGACCGTACAATATTGTGGAGTTTAAAAATTCGTAAGATTGTTGTTTTGAATAGAATTTACGTGCAAAACTTCCTGTTGCTAATATCCATTTATAAAATAAAAATTTGTATGTATATAAATTGAGAATTTAAAACGGCTAATGGTTGTGAGTTTTAGCTTGAATTAGAGGATAATTTTAGTTTCATGAACTATAAATACTGGACAAAATAACTAATGAACTATTTTGTGCTTGAGTCAGCTGAATATTAAAAATTTATCCCAGTTAATGCTTTTTATCTACTAAATCACACAATTGTGTTTTTTACGAAGTATATGAAAATAGTTTATAGGTTTCTTCCCCTAGCTGATTTGAATGTTGAAATGGGAAGTAACTCTGTTTTGTTAAAACAAAGCACAATTACTGTAACTGTAACCATATTTTTACGTTTTTGCTTATATGTTTAAACAATTTGTCCTCTGTTTGTTTGCTTCATGTATATAACACATCCAATAAGATGAACTATCTATTGTATAGCAAAGTTTTTAAATCATGCCCAGTTTTAGCGTGTGACAAACATCTTGAAACATTGTCACAATGTGTTCGGCCCTGTTTAGCCAATGAGGGATGGACACGATCAATTGTCCCTCGTTACAAATCAATCATGAAGTGAAAACATCTGACGATGGTATCGTTCATCTTAAAGTTTAATATTCGGAGTGAAAACTTGACAGTTATTAAAGGAAAATGTGTATAATTTGTACACACATTTACGCGTCAAGCTTTGGCGTATTTTTAGCACTAGTTCGGGCTCTCAGTTTGGGAACCGCTGATTTTTGTTTGTATTGTCTGAGTGTAAAGAGCCTTACCCCTTCCCCCCCCCCCCGCCACAGCAGATTGTCTTTGTATATGTCTAAGGTTTATGTAGAAGTTGACGTTGTTGTATAATTTACTCGCTAAAAAGTTTAGTTACACGGTGAACTATTGGCTTGCTCTCTCTATCTCTTGTGTGAGATATGATCATACACACTGTTGAGGATACCATACACTTGTGATTATAAATATGTGTGGGGTACATTCACACATTCGTGTGTGGGGTATGATCACACATTCGTGTGTGGGATATGATCACACATTCGTGTGTGGGAGTATGATCACACATTCGTGTGTGGGAGTATGATCACACATTCGTGTGTGGGAGTATGATCACACATTCGTGTGTGGGAGTATGATCACACATTCGTGTGTGGGGTACGATAATAGACTCGTGTGTGGGTTATGATCACATAATGTGTGTGGGTTATGATCACATAATGTGTGTGGGTTATGATCACACGTTAGTGTATGGGGTATGATCACACATTCGTGTATGGGTATGATCACACGTTAGTGTATGGGGTATGATCACACATTCGTGTGTGGGTATGATCACACGTTAGTGTATGGGGTATGATCACACATTCGTGTGTGGGTATGATCACACGTTAGTGTATGGGGTATGATCACACATTCGTGTGTGGGTATGATCACACATTCGTGTGTGGGTATGATCACACAATAGTGTGTGGTTATGATCACACAATAGTGTGTGGTTATGATCACACAATAGTGTGTGGTTATGATCACACGTTAGTGTGTGGGGTATGGTCACACATTAGTGTGTGGGGTATGGTCACACAATAGTGTGTGGGTATGATCACACATTCGTGTGTGGGTATGATCACACATTAGTATGTGGGGTATGATCACACATTCGTGTGTGGGGTATGATCACACGTTAGTGTGTGAGATATGACCATACACACTGTTGAGGATATCGTACACTTATGATTATAAATATGTGTGGGGTATAATCACACATTAGTGTGTGGGGTATAATCACACATTCGTGTGTGGGGTATGATCACACATTCGTGTGTGGGGTACGATCACACTTTCGTGTTTTGGGTATGATCACACATTCGTGTGTGGGGTATTTTCACACCCTCGTGTGTGGGTATGATCAGACACTTATGTGTGGGGTATGATCACACAATAGTGTGTGGGTATGATCACACGTTAGTGTGTGGGGTATGATCACACATTCGTTTGTGGGGTATTTTCACACCCTCGTGTGTGGGATATGATCACATAATGTTGTATTTATGACTCTCCCACTTCATGTTATAATTAACACCTCATCCAATCAGTGAGGTCCACCTGGACAACACAATCATGACTCCAATCATTCACTAATTTCAATCATTCGTGTCTCAATCATGGTTTTCATTCAGTCATGCAAACTCTCACATCACCTAATCATCCTCAGATGTAATTACTCACTTCAATCAGTACTCACTTCAATCAGTACTCACTTCAATCAGTACTCAGTACCTCAACAATCATTGCTTGTATTATCCACATTTTTCGTCATAATTATCAACTTTATGCAATTAATCATTCTTTATATTATCCACATTTCTCATGAGCAGCCACATCATTGCACATATAAACCATTTTTTTCAATGTGGTTATGTGGCTACAACGAAACCACATATCAGCCACACGCTTTAAGATTATCTATTTACATAGTATACCTATGTTTTCATTATATCATGTAAAAATGTAATATAATAATACCACTAATGCTTAAGTTTCATTTACCAACCAACATAGTACAGAGAATCTCTTTTTATATCAAACTTGTATTATATTACATTATCATTCTCCTTAAATTTTACTTTAATGTGTTCCATATATTATTAATCAGATTCAATAAAATTTATTCCAAGATTTTGACTTTTATTTAGTATTATTATGTTATTATTTTATCTTTATAATTAATATTTCATTAAGCCACAATTTTCTAATTAAGTGCAGGCTGTTCTATAAAGGTACCTATATAATCACTCGAGACAAGCATATTATCGCCCTTAATCTAGGGGAAGTAACCGACAAGTCCGCCATCGCTATTTTGAGTTGCTCATCAAAATATGACGGCATAACGCGGGATTGAATATTCTTAAACCATGAAAGATGAAT